CATCAGGACACTTCCTCAGCCAATAGGATCAGGTAGAATTTATTAACAAGTAGAAATGCAATAAAAACCCTTTGAAAAAAATTGTTACCTTATACAGTAAATTACGGTTATGTCGAATCCAAAGTAATAATTAATTAACTATAGCTTGTTAAACGCAGTACGACTAGAATATTACACAACAAGTGGCACGGACCAAACAAACAGTTCCCTGCCATTGCACCATAAGCGTATTATTGTATGTTTCTATGTGTTTTGTTTTCTATTGTTTACACTGTACGTCAAACCGCCCCCGGGATAAGGCGCTGTAAGGCCTGTTTTACGTCATTATTAATACGTAAATGTTTAAAGCAGTTTTAAAGTCAACTCATTCGTTGATCCAGTGGCGTGCGTCATGTGGTTTCGCTGTATTCTGTGTTCCAAATTTCAACAGTCTCTCAAGACATCTTTGATGGACATTATCATCAGTCTGTTTGGTTTCATGTTGCATCGTGTTTTGGGCGGATTCTTTTAGTTGAACATTTAAGTAAACCAATTAAGGTGTTTCCCGGCGAGATATCGCTTGCTCAATTGTTTTAAGATGCGTAAAGCCTTATTCAGGGGCTAGTCGACAAGGAAACATTTTTCTCCCGAAACCATGAAAATCCATTTTTTGATGTCCAAACTATCAATCATTTGTTCATAGTGGGTTTAGGCTTATATTAAGCATTGTTGTGCACTGGTTTAACAGGTGAAATACGTTTGCACCACACACAGTTGAAATTGTCGTTTCGTTCTAACAGTGTCCAAGTCAACGCCCAGTTAGAGTTATGCCCCTTGGCACAGCACGAGAACGAATGTGTGACTGTACTTAGGCTTTCTTAACGTAAGGCCGTACAGACTAAATTGAACATCAGCTGAGAATATGAACAGCAGCAAGACAAGCTGTAAACAAGTATGTCACTGTCATTTCAGCATGTCGAAATGTTATTGATTAAATATGGAACGTCAGTGCAAAAGAATAAAAAGTCTTAACTAATTTTGGAAACAGCATTCCCGTTTAGTTTAAAGAAAAAATAACTATAAAACGTAAATGAATGGTTCACTGAAAATCATATCAGTGTATATCAGTGATGACACCAGGTGTTAGCGAGGGTAAGTATATCAGTGATGACACCAGGTGTTAGCGAGGGTAAGTATATCAGTGATGACACCAGGTGTTAGCGAGGGTAAAAATACCCGTGATGACACCAGGTGTTAGCGAGGTAAGTATATCAGTGATGACACCAGGTGTTAGGGAGGTAAGTTTATCAGTGATGACACCAGGTGTTAGCGAGGGTAAGTATATCAGTGATGACACCGGGTGTTAGCAAGGGTAAGTATATCGGTGATGACACCAGGTGTTAGCGAGGTAATATATATCGTGTTGACACCAGGTGTTAGCAAGGTAAGTATATCAGTGATGACACCAGGTGTTAGCAAGGTAAGTATATCGGTGATGACACCAGGTGTTAGCGAGGTAATATATATCAGTGATGACACCAGGTGTTAGCAAGGTAAGTATATCGGTGATGACACCAGGTGTTAGCAAGGTAATATATATCAGTGATGACACCAGGTGTTAGCAAGGTAAGTATATCAGTGATGACACCAGGTGTTAGCGAGGTAATATATATCAGTGATGACACCAGGTGTTAGCAAGGTAAGTATATCAGTGATGACACCAGGTGTTAGCAAGGGTAAGTATATCGGTGATGACACCAGGTGTTAGCAAGGTAAGTATATCGGTGATGACACCAGGTGTTAGCGAGGTAATATATATCAGTGATGACACCAGGTGTTAGCAAGGTAAGTATATGAGTGATGACACCAGGTGTTAGCAAGGGTAAGTATATCGGTGATGACACCAGGTGTTAGCGAGGTAAGTATATCAGTGATGACACCAGGTGTTAGCGAGGTAATATATATCAGTGATGACACCAGGTGTTAGCAAGGTAAGTATATCAGTGATGACACCAGGTGTTAGCGAGGTAAGTATATCGGTGATGACACCAGGTGTTAGCGAGGTAATATATATCAGTGATGACACCAGGTGTTAGCAAGGTAAGTATATGAGTGATGACACCAGGTGTTAGCAAGGGTAAGTATATCGGTGATGACACCAGGTGTTAGCGAGGTAATATATATCAGTGATGACACCAGGTGTTAGCAAGGGTAAGTATATCAGTGATGACACCAGGTGTTAGCGAGGTAATATATATCAGTGATGACACCAGGTGTTAGCAAGGTAAGTATATGAGTGATAACATCATATGTTAGCAAGGGTAAGTATATCAGTGATGACACCAGGTGTTAGCGAGGTAAGTATATTGCTGATGACACCAGGTTTTAGCGAGGGTATAATATATCTTGCCGGTACCTGCCATTCCCAAAATTGACCTAACAATTGAAGCAGTTTACCTGGCGCCGCACAGAAATACTCTTGCCTTGCGGCCTGTAAACAAACCAGACAATCAAGTGATCGATGGAACGGTAAATCCAGTTGGGTAATTTTGAATTACGACTGCTGTTTAGCAGTACACAGACTGAAACGACTGAACCTGACAATGGAAACATCCTATGTTGATGTAATGTTTTGGGAATGAATAGAATTAATGCAATGATTTACTCAAATAGGTTGGTGTATTCATAATGCATTTTAAACATGATATAGGGCCCCGTTTCACAAAGCTCTCGTAAGCCCAAGATCTCGTAACCTTTCTCGTAGTATTCGTACTTCCTATACTGTATTCTGGTGTCCCCCGCCGTGATATTGCTGGAATATTGCTAAAAACGGCGTAAAACTAAACTCAGTCAGTCAGTCCTATACTGTAACATAGGAGGTATGAATGTTACGAGAAAAGTTACGAGAGCTTTGTGAAACGGCGCCCAGGGACATTATTTTGAAGATTCAAGCCTCGGATTTTTTTTGACAAACTGTGACCGATGCGATGGTCAAGTAGACATAGCCGAATTTAAGAAACTTAACGTTTCTGTTTTCAATTTCAAAAAAACAAATGGTATCTATTCTTTAGTCTCCTATATCTGTTGTAGTTCTTGGACATACATAGGAAAACAAACGGGTTCGCTGTAAGTTGGTTGGATGTTTGATTGCTTAACACCGCAATATTCCAGCGATATGGCGGTGGTCTGTAAATATTTGAGTCTGGACCAGACAATCCAGTGATCCACAGTATGAGCATCGATCTATGCCATCGGGATACGATGACGTATGGCAACCAAGTCAGCGAGCCTGACCACCCGATCCCATTAGTCGCAACTTCCGACAAGCATGGGTTACTGAAGACCAATTCTAACCTGGATCTGCACGAGTGCAGTAAACCTTAACTATTGGATGACAACGGCCTCTTTTGTTCTTTAATGGATAGTTTGTCACTTGTAAAAATCCGTCGTCTACCCGTCCATCCTTCCATCTATTAGTCAGTCCGCATGTCCGTCCGTCCATTCATTCATTCATTCTACACATGAAACGGCGTATTCCTTTATGGACTGAGCCCAAATAATGCATTCATATATATTCACAGAAAGTAATTACGACAGCAAATGTGACTGAACATTACACATAATATAGTGTCAGGATCATTAACCAAAGTCATAATTAATGCGAAAACAAGATTCACTGAAATTTGTAACTGTAATCTGGTTAGTCCCAATCATTTCTAATTAACGAGGTATCACTGAATATGGAACCGATGTTTATTGAATCAAATTGTCGAAATCAGAATCTCTGATTTCAGTAAATGTAAAAAGATTACACAGTTTTAAAAGAGAAACAGGCCGCACAATTAAAATTTAAACGTCATGACAGAATAATTCGTTTGGATGATTTCATTCAGTATTAAACAGTATCGTTTGGATAAGCTCATTCCCTGTGAAATAAAATTGTCGATGATGATTTGTTGTCTGTCCTTAGCATAAAATGAAGAAGAGAGATCACATAGGACCAGCGTTGGAAGAGCCGTGTGGTGCTAATTGCCCAGATGTGTATTACAACATGCCACGTTTCAGTGCAACCATTGCTAATCGATAAAACGTGTTAGCGAAGTGTTTGAGTGTCTGTATACATGTATACATAATCATTTCACTGTACAAACTCCAGCCAAATATTCGAAAGAAACGTAAACATGCTCATGTATGTTTCACTGACATAGACGCATGTACATTTCACTGAAATAGGCGCACGTGCATTTCACTGAAATAGGCGCATGTGCATTTCACCGAAATAGACGCATGTACATTTCACCGGCTGAATGTCTACGGTAGCTCTGTCCCACGCCGGCCTCTATCGACCAGCAGTGTCACTATATCTACTCCTACAACTGTTGTCGGTGGAGAAAGCCAGCTCTATCAGTACCATTCGCTTGTTTACACTTCACATGAGCACCAATGAAGCTATGTTGGAGAGGGCGGGGCGAAACTTTACAGCATGTCAATCAAATAATGTTCCTTTTGTATGTTCTCGTAAAGTTAGGATAATATGTATGTGATAAACTACTATGTTATGATTACATTCTGTAGACGTGGTAGGTGTTTACAGTCTGATATTTTCCCACCTTTACATGCGAAAAAAAACAGAATCCGGGCGAAAATAATGTGAATGATAGATCCAGTGTTTATAACGAGTGTTGCACTAATAGTGAATGCAGTGGATCTACATGTTTTCAAACCTCATGGAGAAAAGCATCGTGGAAACTATGGTGAGTGGGCGATACGTGAAGCTCGCTATAAAAGTGGCAGCTCTCTCATATGCAGGTGACATATGACACGGTCGTCTTTGAGATAGCGAGTCTTTGGCCAACGGAGCAAGTTACTTCTTAATCTGTCTTTGAGCCCATACAGGCCAGTCTATCGTTCACGGGACATCGCCCTGTACTTGGATCTACATTTAAAAGACTTTAGCAAATATCTAGCGCCCGGTCTATCTCATGCACACAAGCCTTCCAAACGTGCTTGCCTTGTATTAATTGGTACCCGGAATAAAATTACCAGTTCCACAGGATTGCTCATCAGCGTTTGAAAGAGTCGCGCTTCCCCCGAGAGCGGGACGGTTAACAGTACCGGAGCTGGCCCGTGAGGCGTGTGCGATATCCACGCTGAGCGACGTTCATACTCTCGGGGAGTTTGGAAACCGGCGCCGGAGTGACAGCAAGGAGGCGGGGATAAACGGACGGAAATGGGCCAACATGGCCCCCTCACACACAAACGCGTTGCCGGCTACTACACAACACGGATATCATCGATATAGCTTTACAAAGCGTACATCACAAGATGCACTCATACCGACCATGGGTTGTACATTCTTTCTACCACTGTTACAGCTGATTGTTACACTCCTTGCTCTTAGCGAGTGTCTTCCCATCCCGACGGGAGGGACCACCCCGGGTATCACATCTCAGTACCCCGCCACCAATGCATTGCCCGTACCAATCACAGCTGATGCCACGAGGGCGGTCATTCAAAGCATGGAGAAACTTTGGATCCAAAGATTCGAGAATTCGGACTATTTTAAACAATTGCCGAAAGGTCTCCAAGAGGATGTGAAAGAATTTTTGAACTCAAGGACCCGAAATATTCTTCAGGGGGACCAAAGTTTGACTTCTCAGGAAAATAATTTAAGGAAAAATATCCCTCGCCCCCATGGAGGGGATTCGCTATCTGTAACGGACTCTCTTAAGTCGAACGAAATCACATTAGAAGCGAAACGTAATGGTCAAGATAGTTTGGACAAGTCTAAAAGTAATAACGTAACAGTGGTTGTTGGGCCGACGAGGCCTGGGCATCGGTCAAGGAGGAGCTATGGACGATCGTATCTGGACAATAGGATATCTCCGTACCTCTCTGGGGGCCCCATTGACATAACATACACCCATGTTGTGCCATGCGTGTATGCTGATCGGTACTACTGCCTAAACGGGGGAACATGCGTGTTTGTGGGAGCGCTGGACTTAAAAACCTGCAGGTGAGCCCATCGATGTTTTATGCTCGTAAACTTTACAAAGGTTCTCTAAGAAATTCATATTTACCACCAATCGTGTCCATTGACGCATTTTACCATCTATTGAAGTATCCTGGTTAAAATTCCGTGAATCGGTGTAGCGTTAAAATGCACCAAATATTACAAGTGGGATTTTGTAAGAAACCCGCAACACATACTCGCTGACGTGAAACACGATCCCTAGTTTTGCTTGAATACCAAACATATGTGCTTGGGAACAGGGTCAAGCTTACTGTTGTACCCGTTCAGTTAGTGCCGGGGGTGAACGGCTCTCAAACTGATGCCAGTTTGTTTCATTAACACACTGAGAACCGTTACGCGATACGCTTAGTGTTAATTGACTCTTCTACTCCTCGCAAAATACTGAGTTTAGGAACACCAGTTCCACGTCGCATTCGTTTATTAATTCAAAGATACACATGCAGGTGTTCTTCGGAGTTACATATGTTTCTGCAGCCTCCTTAACGCATCTTTGCATGTTGCATCTGACGTACGTGCCTTTGGGGTTATTTTTGAACCGAAAGATGCCATTTGAATATATACCTAGAAGGCCCTCTCACAGTGACTGTGGCTATTGATTTTAGGTACATTTCACCTCGTTTATGAAATATTTATCCGGGTGCATCATTCAGAAACTAATGTAGAAGGCGGGTGGATTTCCTTTTACCATCTTGCTGCGTGGAGCTTTCTGTGTCCATATACTTGTTAAATAATTAACTATCATTTGTGGTCGATCTTTACATTACATTTCAGTGTTATATATTGGGGAAATTGAACTGCGTTGAGTCGGTTGTGATTTTAGCTAACGATACGTGTTTTGGTTTTTTAAAGGTTTCAAAAGATATCATGTTACCCCTGAGACTTATAAGAGCGTATAATAGCCTCGAATACGTTTACGTCGGTGATAGTTGTTGGCCTTTCGGATAGACTGATGGAATATCTGTCTGTGATACTTCTCGGGAGACGAAAGATTCTTTCAGTTTTATAAATATTAGAAGCGCACGTATATCACAGAAGGATAATTGATCGATTTGTGAAACTGCGAACAGCTCACTTGTCGAAGTGCCTATGACACAATGGCAGAAGTGTGCTCCTTGAATGTTCCACAGTGCCATTCTACATCATTCTTTGCAATATAGTATACATCTTGTACCACCATACCTATATAGGGTACATATAGCTAACAGAAATATTTTTTGTAAAACAGATACTATTTAAACATATTTGTGTCAGTGTATTATTGATAATTATGATGCATCGGATTTATGTCGATTTCAATTTGATCTTAACTAGTTCGTCTTCGGGATGTGGTTGGGAGTTTACATGTATGTATGTATTACAGGTTACATATAATATGGAAGCCAGTGTAGATCGTACCTGAAATCCGTTAAGGGTCGTGTCACCTATTGACCTATTCACCTATTGAATTGATTTATGTTCATAAAATGCTTCCGCTGGAACCCCTTACTTGAATAACGTCAAGCTTGATGTGCGCTCTACCGACGCGCCAGCTCTCCTCGTTGCAACTGGCCGACCAGGCTTCGCGTCAAAGCCGAATACATTGCTTGGTTGAGTAGGTAACCTGGAATCATTAACTGCTTTTGGTAATAATGGCTGAGGTTGTGCTTCACGGTACAGATATGGTGCCATGATAGCATTATCACGTGGAGTAACTCATAGTCTCTCAAAGAATCCCCTTCAATAGCCAGCTTCCAGTCTAACTTAAAAACTTTCCTGTTCAAGAAGCACTATGACGTATAAATGAACTCCTGTTGTAAATATGTATATATGTCAGCGCCATGAGCAACCACTTAGTGATTGGATATAGGGCGCTATATAAATGGACTTATTATTATTATTTTTATTATTATAGCAAATGAGGAAAATCATGAGATCATAAGTATGTACCAAAGATTAACTTTGTTCTGATAGACCATTGCTAGGTCTGAATATCGGTTAACCTCAAGCTTTATGTAAGAATGGCCGCGCGCGTTCGTATTAGTGTGTGAGTGAGTGAGTGGGTGAATGAGTGAGTGGGGATGATGGGGGGGGGGGTGGGGGTGGGGGTCGGATTAATCTCCTTCGGAACAGGTATCGGGTAAAAAAACATCGGTTCCATAAGAAGAGGACTGGCTATCCAATATTCCAGCTGTATGACGGCCGTCTTCATGTATTCGAATCTGGACCAGACAAACCAGAGACTGACCTTATGAGCTCCGATATACGCAATTGGGATACAATGGCCTTCATCTGCTGAGTCAGCGAGCATGACTACTCGATCCGACCCGTGAAGATCCGGGGTAGAATAGGTCTTCAGCAACCCATGATTGCCACAAAAGGCGACTATGCTTGTCGTAAGAGGCGACTAACGGGATCGGGTGGTCAGGCTCGCTGACTTGGTTGACACATGACATCGGTTCCCATTGCGCAGATCTATGCTCATGCTGTTGATCACTAGACTGTCTGGTCCAGACTCGATTATTTACAGACCACCGCCATATAGCTGGAATATTGCTGAGTGCGGCGTAAAACTAAATTCACTCACTCACTACTCGATCCCGTTAGTGACTTCTTACAACAAGCATTTGTTGATGAACACCCATTGTCAACGATGTCTTCAGACATTCCGTGCAGGAAAGTGTGGCATGGATTAAGCATATCAGGGAAAACATGTTGGCATCTGTGTTTTCATTCACGTCTTAATCGAAGAGCGACGTTTATTCTAAGAAACCAACACAGTTCGTTCTATATGGAATCCAGAAAGACGACCAGAAACTATGGTACCAAATTATCGGCCCTATATAGAATCTGGAAAAACGACCAAAAACTATGGTACTAAATTAACGGCCCTATATAGAATCCAGAAAAACGACCAAAAACTATGGTACCAAATTAACGGCCCTATATAGAATCCGGAAGGACGACCAAAAACTATGGTACCAAATTAACGGCCCTATATAGAATCCGGAAGGACGACCAAAACTATGCTACCAAATTAACGGCCCTATATAGAATCCGGAAGGACGACCAAAAACTATGGTACCAAATTATCGGCCCTATATAGAATCCAGAAAAACGACCAAAAACTATGGTACCAAATTAACGGCCCTATATAGAATCCGGAAGGACGACCAAAACTATGCTACCAAATTAACGGCCTATGTGGAATCCGGAAAGACGACCATAAACTATGGTACCAAATTAACGGCCTATATGGAATCCAGAAAAACGACCAAAAACTATGGTACCAAATTAACGGCCCTATATAGAATCCGGAAGGACGACCAAAAACTATGGTACCAAATTAACGGCCCTATATAGAATCCGGAAGGACGACCAAAACTATGGTACCAAATTAACGGCTGTTAGTTCGTGTATCGGATATCGGATGAACAGATGGTAAGGACGATTTTAGTTCCTTGATAGTGGGTAAGGGTAGCTACACACAGTTCGTAATGGGCTCGATATGCTGAGGTCGAACCCTGGAATGACCATGTTAGTCATCGTAGAGGCGGTATAAAAGACGACATTTGGGAGGGTTGAGGGGTGTGGATTTCAGTGTCTAGGGGTAGCAGCCTCTGACACATACTACAGATCAAGTTGTATTGAATTAAGTTCATTGCCTCTATTGCCATAGCCTTAAAATCGATTTGTAAGATATCGCCTAACAGTGCAGGGCATGACAATGTTTGGAGTTTCTTGTGATCACATTTGTGAAAAGAATAGTTTAAGAGACTATTCATTCTAGCAGGCGCCTTGAACGTTAAGATTTCCTATTAGCTTGTCGGTACCGAATATATAGATTAACCGGACCAGTAATACGCCTTAAAACACGTTACTGCGGTCCTGCACCGGAACCGGAAAATCCAGGTCTTCATAAGGCATTCAGGTTTTCATAAGAATGTGGGTAACCAGTCACCTGAGCCGAGCAATTCTCCAGTCAGCTAATAATGTCATATTACTAACCATTTCAGTCACAACTGACATTAAATACACATACCGTATACATGATAAATAGTGGTGATACATACGCAAGAAAGATCCGAGTACTCCACACGTTGTATTGATAGCGGGGATACATAATGTATGACACTGAAGTTCTGGGATCTTGAATTTCGGCATTCAGTATCGAAATCTGCCGTTGAGGACATGATGATAAATCCTAACTTTACAATCAACGGTTTCATCTGACGCATTTGAACCAAATCTTAGACCGTTTAAGTTCAGGTTCAAGTTTGAGAGATTGTAAACACCATTATAGGTTTACCCAAATTGCAAAAATCAATCGAGAAATTTTCTGACATTTTAACACGATTTTAACAATCTGTAGCCCAAAGATCTGATCCTGTTGGTAGAACAGGGAAACTGTTCAGTTTATATATTACAGCGGGTTATTAATTGATGATAAATGAATAATATTTTCAAAACGTTTTATCAATTTGGTCTTTTGCAATAAACCATTCCTCTGTACTTCTCGCAGTGTATATGGACGCTTGGGTTAATTCAAAATTCAAAATAAATATTAAAACATTCCCAAATGTGAATTACTTACATTTGTCAAAAAGGGGTCCTTGAACGTAATCCTTGTTTTTCCAATATTGACGAAATTCAACTTCTTTTCTGCATTTCCTGTTGTGTTTTCACTTTACATCAAAGCGCAGATAACATGCTCTGGACTATTTTATTAAGGGTTACGAAAACGTTTTGAAAGGTTTTTCAGATTGCGTTACTTTGACCAAAAAAGAACATATCGGTCAGGAGCGGAAGGAGGTGAATTATTCATAACATACAAAGTTTTAACAAATTAATTATAACAGAAAAGTTAGTAGATTATTATCACTTCATTTCCAATCTGTATCCCTCTAGTGTACGTACCCGTGAAGGTCCGGGTTAGAATGACCCTTCAGTTACCATCGGTTCCCAAGTGCGCAGATCTATGCTCATGCTGTTGATCACTGGATTGT